CGTGGTGGCGAGCCCGTGCCGGCCTGCGGGGGAGAACCAGGTGGCGCCAGTGACCAAAAGGCTGACAAGCAGCGAGCCCACGTTAGCCACAGGAAAGGGGAAGAGCAGAGGGGGGAGCTAACCGGCCCCCAGCCGCCACATAGCAGCTGATGCCAGGTGCCTTATGGGGAGGAGTGGCAGGGCACCCTGGCTCAGAAGTTCACTCTGCTCTCCGAGGAGGGGCCCAGGCAACAGGAGGCAGCGCAGGGAGCGGTTGTAGGCGGACGCTGGGTCAGTCCGATCTGACACTGACTGGACAAGAGGGGCTTCCAGCCAGGCGAGTAGGTGAAATCCCAAAGGCCTGTGAGGTTCCCCCGGTCAGCCTGGCGGTCTGAGGGTCCCTCCTTTCCGGTCATAAATGCGCCGAGGATGGGGCGGGGGGAACTCCGTGGGGCGCCCCCCGCCACGTCCCTCTTGCCGGCTTTCCTAGCTCACCTGCACGGGCCGTCCGGCCCACCCGGTGGATGTAGATTTTCGGCAGGCCGGGGGTGTTGTGGTTGATGACGACTTGCACGGTTGGAATGTCTAAGCCCCTGGAATGCAAGCGAAGAGAAGGGGGCTGGGGAGGCGGCAGCAGGGCACCCCCCGTTCACAGTGCTCACCTGCCACCTTCGGAGACCCCACGCTCCCAGGCCCTGCCGTGACCGGCCCGATTCCAGGGACTCGCCCACTCCTCGGAACCACAGACCCACACAGCTGCCTGCCATTCCCCTCGGGGCTCGGGCAGCCCCTCAGCCCACGAACCCGCAGGCTCCAGCAGGGAATGGACCGAGAATCCATCTACTGCAGGTGCACGAGCGACCTCCAGGGTCTTCCCTCACCCTGGGCCAGGCCTGAGGGGGAGAATCCCTGCCTGAGCAGACAGCACAGAAGAGCCCCCCTCTCCAAACCCCAGCCACAGCCCTCGGGTGGTTCTGCTGCTTAGGAACCTCACCGAAGCGCTAACCCCTCCCCCCTTCTCCTACCTGGCAGCCACGTCCGTGGCGATGAGGATCCTAAAGACGCTGGACTTGAATTTGGCTAAGGCTGCAAAGCGCTGCTTCTGCCAAGGGAGGAGTCTGGGTTAGGAGCCGGGGGAGGCGCACGACCCACACGCCAGGGAAAACAGCCAGACGCTGCGGGCGCCCGTGACTGGACTTGAAGGGCGGGCGAGGCGTGAGGCACCTGGACCCGTGGGGGTTCCGATGCCAGCCCGGCACCCGCCTGCCTTGTGCTCAGCAACGAGGCTCTCGGAGCAGAGAACCGGGGTCAAAAGCCAGAGATCTCCCGAATGTCTGGGCTCCACACGGAAGAACCTGAGCCCCCTCCATGCCACGGCAGAGGACACGCACCCTCCTCCTTGTACCCCAGCCCCACCGGCTCACTCACCTGCCTCATCATAGAATGCAAGGCCACCGAAGGGAAGTTGAACTTCTTCAGCATCATGTTTAAGATCTGGCAGCTCCTTAGAGAGGAGACGTTTCCCCGTTACACCCTTGGTCCCCGGAGAAGTCCAGAGCCTACAACAGAGCCTCCGGGGGGTCCAGGTACACAGCGGCTCAGCTCGGCTCCCCACGCCACGCTTGGCACCCACTCGCAGGTGGACATAGGGCTGTTTTTTAAAGGGGGGGAATCCAGGCTCTTCGAAGAGCACGGAGAGATTTCCCGTTTCCTCTGGGACAGCACGTCTTGGGTCAAACCCCGCGACTGGACTCGCTCACAGGGGGGAGGTAGGAGGAAGCAATCGCACACTGTAGCTGTAAGGGGCCTTGAGAGGGCAACGAGTCCCTCCCTCCCCCTAGCCAGGGAGCCCCAGCTGGGCCCAATGCAGCCGGAGCACCGAAGGGGCCCCGGACCCTGCACCGTCAGGACTAAGCGGAGACTTGGCCCTTCCAGTTTGTGCTACGTTCTCAGGAGCTGTGAAAGGGCTCTGACCCCGCTCACCCCCCTACTTGCAAGGGGTCCCTTATCCTGCCTTCCTAACCTAGTGGGGGAGCCAGTTCCATGCCTGGGGGCAAATGGTGCTGGTTTGGGGACGCTCCCGGGGGGGGGGCTCAAACCCACAACCCTTGGGTCCCCAGGCAAATTCCTATCCCCCTGGCCACGCCAGAACCCACCCCACCCCAGTTCTGCCTGGACGAGGGGCGCACGTAATTGGTGGGGAGTTTGGGCGCTGAACTCCCAAAGCCCAAACAGCACCAGGGCGACCAGCAGGCGGCTTCCGACTCACTTGCAGGTGCTGGTGAAGATGATGATGGACCAGTCCTCGTGCTCGTCCTGGAAGGTCTGAATTAAGTGGACGAGGTAGGCGTCCTTGACTTTCTCCGGCACGAGCAGGTAGCGCTGAACCAGCTCGTCCACGGTCCGCACCCTGTTTGGGAGGGGAAGGCCCCATAAAGAGGCATTATCCTGAGATGGGCCAGATCTGGGGGAGGTGAAGGGGATGGGGGGAGAGGGGAGGATGAAGCCAGGCACAGGAAGCGAGGTTCAGCAAGTGCCCCCCCCCCGCCCCACCTAGCAGAGCAGGGTGTGACTGGGACACTGGGGCGAACGGGGGGGAAGGGAGACACCGATCCGCTGGAGCTCCGCCCGGAACGCTGGCTGCTGGGGGAAGCCCAAGACTCCGTACCGCACCCCGGGGAGACTTACTCAGCCTGCGACTCCCAGAAGAAGGGCTTGTTCATGGCGAGGCTCTTCAGCTCGTTCAGCGTGTCCGTCAGCGTGGCACTGAAGAGCAGCGTCTGCCTGGTGGCTGGAACTGCCCCCAGAATCACCTCCAGATCCTTGGTGAAGTCGGTACAGCCCTGCTCCAGCAGCCGGTCAGCTTCATCCAGAACCTTCAACGGGCAGCACAAGCCAGGCTGAGGAGCGGCAACCCCTAGCAGAGGGCCCCCTGGCCTCCCAACCCAGCGCTAAAGCCCACTCTGTGGCCAGGGCGAAATCACCGTCTCTCGGCCTCAGTTTCTAGAGAGCCCTCCCCGCCTTGCCAGCTGGGTGTAAGAGCAATCCATCTCACGCTGTTATGTGTTAGCGCCACATGGGGCCATGACCGAGGTATGGCAGAGGACTGGGCAAGGGAGACTGTTTCACAGCGATGAGGCCTAACACAAGTTTCCCCGGACAGATTTTGAGCCCCCAAATGCTTCACCATAGCTAGTGGCCGCCCCAAACTCAGCGAGGTGACTACACAGAGGGATTGACGTGCGACTGACGCGGCGGGTTATGTGTTAGCGCCACATGGGGCCATGACCGAGGTATGGCAGAGGACTGGGCAAGGGAGACTGTTTCACAGCGATGAGGCCTAACACAAGTTTCCCCGGACAGATTTTGAGCCCCCAAATGCTTCACCATAGCTAGTGGCCGCCCCAAACTCAGCGAGGTGACTACACAGAGGGATTGACGTGCGACTGACGCGGCGGGTGACAGGCAAATTTCCACTCCCCAGCAGCTGGAAACGTGGCTGTTCGGCTAATGGAAAACTCAAGCACGTCGGCCCAGCCCAAGGTCCCCCCGCCGCAGCCGAAGAGCTGCCTTACCAGGAACTTGATCTTTCTGAGGCTGAAGGTGTTGGAGCTGCGGAGGTGATCGGCCAGCCTTCCAGGCGTGGCGATGACGACGTGAGGCTTTCGGGAGAGCTCCAGAGCCTGGGCCACCATGTCTGGAACAACACCACCAAGGGGGCTGAGCTATGTGCTGCCTGGGCCCGGGCGAGCAGCCAGCCTCATCCTACACCACATTCAGTGCCCTCAAGTCGCACCCACCACAAGGGGAACAGGGTACGCCCCATCTCACAGGGCTGGACACTAAAACCAGGCACCACAGAGGAAGAAACCCAGGGAACCACTGTGAGAAACAGGTTTCTCTTAAACGCATCTGGCACCACATAGAGGAAGAAACCCAGGACACCACTGTGAGAAACAGGTTTCTCTTAAACGCATCTGCTATTTCGGCCTTTTCAGCAGCCCTCTCCAGCTACGTAATGTTGCGAGGGGACAACACACAAAGCAGGATTTCCAAAGGCGCGTTTGAAAATCCCAGCCTGAGCAAACTGGAGTGACGCTCGATAGCGTCGGTCTGACACCTCCTAGGCTACATCTATATTGTGGCAGGTTTTCGCAAGAGGAAATGCAAATCTCGCACTCATTTGCCTTTCCTCTTCTGTGTAGACGTAGCCCTAGGCAGAGCACAACAACTTCCTGGCAAAGAATGTAGCGTCCAAGGGAGAAAGTCTCACCCACCAGGCGTGACAAGGACACTGCCTCATTCCTAGCGAGAGACCGGGCCACAGTGGCACCCAAATGCGGCTTAACTGGGCAGTTCACTAAGAGGCACTTGAGGGCTTCTGTTTGTTTCTTAATGAACAACAAATCACACAGCTGGCAGCCATGTCTGCTCAGAGTGTCCCCTCAATGATAAAGGACACCAGCAACAAACCCTTAGTTTAGCCCTCCCCTTGTCGTTGCTGGGAAGGGACCGCCGTACATTAAATACAGAGAAATCTGTTAACGGGTGAGAATCACTATATTTTGGTCCATTTCAGGTGAGTATAAGGCTTTCCTGAAACTAGACAATTCCACGTTTGGGAAAAGCGGTTTCCCTAAAACCGCCTTCTCCCCCAGTCGCGGCACAGATTTCAGAACTGAAACGGCCCAGCAGCCCCCCTTAAAGCGAATGAGAGACTTAACGAACGGCGCCTCGTCTTGGCACAGAGGCCGGTTCTTAACCAGCGCGCACATACCCATCCCGCCAACGATGATGCAGTCCTTCAAGCCAAGCGGCTTCCCCAGAACCCGGAACTGTTCAGCAATCTGATAGGCCAACTCCCTGGTGGAGAAAAAGAAGGGAAAAATTGGACGTGGAAAGAGCAGCATCCGCCCGTGTGTGAGCAGTACCTGACAACCAGCTTCCTAGTGAGTACTGGGCCTGCCAAGGTCCCCAGAGCTCAGTGAAAAGGTGGTGGTCCCAGATACCAGCAGCTGTTAAGATCCCCCAATCTAGGGTGAAAAGGACTAAGGTAAAAAGGGAACTAGTTGGAGACCACAGTTGGCCTGAATTAACAAATGCAGCCCAAGGAGGAGGGTCGTGCACCTCCGAGGCCAAGAAGGAAGCTCCTGCCACCCCAGCGAGGGCTGAGAAGTTCTCTGATCCTGAGGGGAATTCTTTTGGGGGAGGCTGAATTAAACGAAGAGAAGTGGATCCCAGCAAAGGGGACCATTGCGGAGGCAGCTTGTTAAACCCTTCTCCTGCGATCCAGAAATTATTGAGGGTTACGCTGGCAGGACTTGGTCCTAGCAGGATGGGCATTCTGGAGCAGCACTGTTCCAAACTCCGGTGCTCAGGATGCAGACAACCAGGAATGCAGGGAAATGACAGCAGCAGCAACCAGGAAAGTTGTTTGCCCAACATCTGCTGCCCTTTGGCAGGTTAAAAAAAATCTGATCGAATGCCGTGGTTATATTGCAGTCACATGGCAGGAGATCAGCGACTAGAGAATGAAAAGACTGGGCTTGTTTACCACAGAAAGCCATAACAGGGTAAGATTAAAGAATATAGAACAATTCAGACACAGCACCCATCTCCTGTCTTGGTCTGAACATTGAAACTAGAGAACGCTTAAATATTCGGCATAAACACTTTAGGGGAGGGAGAATATACCAATCCACCTCCCTTGTACCTTTCTCTGAATCTAGTACTGGCTGCTGTCAGGGCCAAGGCACTAGACATGGGCTATCGGTATGAGTCAATATAGCTATTCCTAAAAGGTCCACACACTCAAAATCCCATTACCAGGCATGGCTGGAGCAGTGACAGATGACGCTGATGACGGAGTGGCATGGCGAGAATCATGTCTCTCAGGAGACAAAGGGGTTTGTGGAAAAAAACCCAGAGACACGATTCATGCTCACCGTGTGGGCGTCAGCACCAGGCAGAATATACCATAGGGATCCTCAGAGAGTTTCTGCAGAATCGGCAGGACGAATGCAGCCGTCTTGCCGCTGCCCGTCTTGGCGCAGCCCATGCAGTCGCGACCTGCGGATCAGCACAGAGACACGATTCATGCTCACCGTGTGGGCGTCAGCACCAGGCAGAATATACCATAGGGATCCTCAGAGAGTTTCTGCAGAATCGGCAGGACGAATGCAGCCGTCTTGCCGCTGCCCGTCTTGGCGCAGCCCATGCAGTCGCGACCTGCGGATCAGCAGTTCCTGGTTAATGTGCATGGGGAGCAGAACCGGGAGAGCCCCTTCAACCCTCCACCACTTGACCCCGATAGCCAGGGAACATTTTCACTCCAAGACACAGGTGATAACACAGAGTGGGGGGGGGGAG